TTAATCAGGAGACATTACAAAGGAATCAAATGCTAGAAACAGGAAATCCTGTGCCAAGTAGTCAGTTTGCTAACTGGTCTTTTGCACATGGGCAAAGCACATTTTACAAAGACGATGAGCACTCTGGAACTGACCAGCATTAAATGAGAAAGCATTCAGTTTTTGCTGAGAATGTATGAGGTGTTGATTTACACAGTTCCTCCACTGTCAACACATGAGGATGCACTCAGATCTACTTAGTGCCTATAACAATAGTAGAAAGCAGAATCATTTCAATGCTTTGAATTTGGGAAGCAATATCACCGAAAGAATACAGAGTAAACAGGCCATCTCGGGAAGATGCATTGCATCAATGTTACATATGGGAGAGTGCCTCTTTCTTGACACATTTGACATTTTTTGCTTTCTTGCCAATATTTTTCTTGGCAAAGTTTCGCTCAGTGTGTGTTTTCAGGTTCCACTTTTTAGAGTTAGGATATAAAAAGGATGCAGCAAAATGATTGCCCAATAAATCATGTGATTTCACCAGAAGGAGGAAGAGAGAGAGAAGGAATAATATAAGCAACTGATGGATACTGGAGCTTTTGTGACCTCTGGACATGGGTTTTTCACTGAGTCATGGAAAGAGGCTGAATTCTCTGGAAAAGCAGTATTTTTGATGAACGAGTTTTGGAAGCAGCTTACCTGCCGAGTGTGCGTACTTAGTAGCTCATAGAGGAGCTCAAACTTTTATTTTGTTAATGGCATGTGGTTTAGACTATATTCCCTGCGTTACAGAATAAAGGGCACTTATTTTTACTCTTGGGCTGTGTGTGTGCATTTATTTACCTTGGCCCACACATTAAAATATCACTGCTACAGACATCGCTGTCACCGAACAGACATCTGTGCACAAAGTGTGACTTTTTATATCAAGAGATAAGCATGCCAGGAATTTCCCCAGATATTATCTGCTCCTAATACCATTTCTGAACTGTATGTTCAAAGATAGTCATAGATGTTTCTCTCTATTTCTGCTGGGTTTAGAAATTACTTTGCCCCATCCTCAGAAAATAACAGCTATGAAATGTTATTTTCTTTTAATTTTCATGAGTCATTATTCTGAGAATCTAAGTGCATGGAAATTGCTAGCAAAAAAGTTACTTTCAGAAATGTGCAAAATGACATTTGGCCATTTCTTTCTGTACAGTGTGCTGTGCAGTATCCTGAATGCTATCAATTCAGCTCAGTACCTTATTGCCATTAATGGAGTTTGTAACCAAAGCTTGGGAGGGAAGACAACAACCACATTCAATCAGACCTGGCAGTCAATATTTAGCAGTCATTCCCAATATCATTCCCTTTCCTAAAACACTATAAAAACCGTACGTGACCCCCTTCTCTCCCTCACATTCATCTTTTTCATTCCTCCTCCACCCCATATCAACCTCTGCAGCTGCCCCTTTGTCACCTTGCACAGGGGTCCTGGCCATGAGGTCAGCCCTCAACCAAACAGGTTAAGCAAACTTTTCAACAAACACTCCATATTTCTTTCAGGACACTTTATTCTTGTGTGTTGTTGTTCCTAGTGAATTTTAGTTCAATACTTTATTGCCGTACTTTATGCACCAATGTATCCCAGATTAAAAAAAAAACAGAAAACAGTATAAAACAAATATTACACTTACAAAAAACAACAAAAATACATTTTACACTTACACATACTGTTCACAGTACATATTAATCAATTAATTAATCAATCAATTCAGTCAATGCAACATCCAAGATCTACATATTGAGGTGCCTGATGGCCTCTAGTTCTATTTCTAAACTCAAACCAGGCATTTTTCACTAAGGCATTGCAAAGGCAGTCATAGTGCATGTATGAACTGAGGTAAACACAACACTTTTTAGAGAATAGGTTTTTAAATACTTTTAAATAATTCAATACAGAACCTTGCTAAAGTGAAAATTGCAAGAACTCAAGAAAATTACCAACAAAAGAGGGTTGCTCACTTTATTTTTAGTAGAATCTTGATACAAGGATCTGGCATCATTTTTATACTTATCCATTGATATACAGTATATTGCTAACAACCCAAGGGAAACTTTACTGCACAAAAGCCTGGAGAAATACAGTAGAAGTAAATATAACAGCTGTCCTAATGTCATTCACATGAGGAGCAGTTTTATTTTCTCAAGGAAAAAAAAGTCATGGTACACATCTGGGAAAACCAATGCTAAAAAGAATGGATTTATCACAAGCCAACGAAACTCACTACACCACCTAAGACTAAACACAGAGTTGAGCTAGAACACATAAGCTGGCAAACAAGAGACTTCTGCATGACCTATAAACAATCACAAAGTCTCCTCACGTCCAGTCACAAAATGAAGGGAAGTCTCTAATGTAACAATCACAAGAACAATAGTCTGAATAAGACAAGGGTTTTTTAAGAAGTGCCTTTTGGATTGCATACTGCATACTACCATACAACATACTACAATTACAAAGTGGTCACAAACACTGCCACTGAGAATGCAGGTTCTTGCACAGGAATGCACATATTGACCACAATATTAGTGCTTGGGTACTAAGAGAACTACTGTACATGACCCGGAGACATCATTCCATCACAAAATCTTATGAAAATCCTAGGAAAATTGTGAATTACTTGCTTGAAAACTGATTATCTTCTTAAACACTCTCACATCATGGCACATACTGTACTTCAGGTGATGGAAAAACTCAACTTTTCCAACTAGAGTTTGAAACGGATCAAGAGGGATTCAAACTTGTCAGTGACTTGATGAAAGCTGTCAGATCAGGCCATATGAAAAACTAAAGAGAAGCTGCCAAAAATCTACAAAACAGACTTTATAAAGCCACCCATCCAGTGATTTATGCTTTGATGTATAGGAACGTACTGCATTTGAACTTGAACTTGAACTTTATTGCCATATGTAACCGGTAAATGTACAGGTACAATGGAATTCTTACTTACAGAAAGTCTCTCGATTGTTAAAAAAAAGTGTAAAACACAAAGTGCAGGCAGTGCATCAAGACAATATACAAACAAACAGTAGACAGTGTACAAGTAAACAACTAAACAGTTCGAATGTAAACAATGCAGACATGTAAACGATGACTGTAATAACTAAAATTACAATGAGGTAAATGGTGTAGATGTGGTCCGAGGGGCATGGCCAAATGTGCTCGCCAATCGCACTGCTTGTGGGTAGAAGCTATTGAATAATATGGTGGTAAGTGTCTATATGCTCTTGTACAGCATCTCTTGCCTGAGGGAAGTGGGGTGAAGAGCTCATGCCTGGGGTGGTGACTCAGCCGATGATCTTCTGGGCCACATTCACCATTCTCTGCCTTACCACACGGTGATCCCGTTGGTGAGGATGCTCTCGATGGTGCAGTGGTAGAAGTTCACCAACACAGGTACTGGCATCCCCCATCGCTTGTGGCACCTCAGGAAATAGAGGCGCTTCTGAGCCTTCAAGATAATGCTTGTGTTCACAGTCCAGGTTAGGTCATTAGAAATGTGAATTCCCAAAAACCTAAAGCTGGTGACTGTTTCCACTTCTGTTCCATCAATACTGAGTGGGCTATGAGTGTGTGGCCTGTGCCTCTGAAAGTCCACTATTAGTCCTTTTGTTTTACTCATGTTCAAGTCCAGGTTATTGCTATAACATCACTGATATAAATATATAAATATATAAATATAAGTATATAAATTGAACTCAAATAAAATACGTTCTGGATCTCAATTTAGAAAAAACAGTTTTGTAGACTGCGTAAGCTTTATATCTTTGAATCAAATGCCCAATTATTTAATATTCTTGATTATTTCAAAAATTGGTATACTAGTTTAAATATATTTGTTAGATGAGGTCTCATGCAAAATCTTGTCAAAGTGCCCAGCACATTGTAGCTGTTCTAACATTATGTTTAATAAACATACTAACATTAAGATACAGTTGGTAATTCTGTAGCATTCCTTCATTGTTCTGAAACCACTCTTAATAAACACCTTAATTGCAACGCCAGCAGCTACTGTATATCACTCTGCAACTCACAGCTGGCGAACCCAGTTTGAGCCTGGCCAGTACCTGGATGGGAGACTTCCTGAGAAAAACCAAGGTTGCTGTTGGAAGAGGTGTTAGTGGGGCCAGAAGGGGCACTCATCCTGCGGTCTGTGTGGGTCCTAATGCCCCAAAATAGTGACTAGGACACTATACTGTAAAAAGGCGCTGTCCTTCGGATGAGACGTAAAACTAATGTCCTGACTCTCTGTGATCGTTAAAAATCCAAGGGCGTTTCTTGGAAAGAGTAGGGGTGTTACACTGGTGTCCTGGCCAAACTTCCCATTGGCCCTTACCAATCATGGCCTCCTAATATCCCCATCTCTGTACTGGCTTAATCACTCTGCTCTCTTCCCCACTGAGAGCTGGTGTGTGGTGAGTGTACTGGCGCACTATGGCTGCTGTCGCATCATCCAGGTGAGGCTTTGAAAGGAGTGTCCAGGAAAACACTATATAAGTGTAAAGAATTCTTATTAATGGTTAAATAAATGCTTAGAACATTTTCAGATGAATTATCCAGGATCAATGATTTACGATATATAGTGCTGTGTATTCCAGAATGTCTTTACATTAAACATTGCTTTCCATGCACTTTCAATATACTGCATAATAGACCAGATATGCAAGGCGAAATATTATTTCAACTTAAAATAGTTATTAAGTATTATTAACTTACTAATCACGAAATATCGTTACCTTCTTGTATTACAACATGTTAGAATTCCATTCTATCACCGCAAAGAACGTACAATAGCCGTCTACAGAGGTCCTGAAACTCAATAATTTCGGCAAGGAGGTGCAATCGGTAGAACCCTGCTGTTGTCGCGGGGGCTTGGCAAGTTAATCAAGCTTGAGACAGAAACACCCACTTTCCTTCCCCTGCGCTTTAATAGGCGAGCTGCACACTTCGCCGCAAAGAGACAGCTGCTACACCATCCCATTCACAGAGCGCCGCCGCGGACACGCAGAAGCGACAGGGGTAGAGACGCTGCGAGGTAATAATAGTGAGTTCTGAATAGTGAATAGTGAAAAATAAAGTCCGACACTACGCTTAAACGTACTTGTACTGTAAGATTTATTTTAATGTAACGGAGGTTAATTTAGAATGTGTTTAATACTCTTCTGTCTTTCCCACGACACAGCGGAATTCTTGAGGTCTATAATGTTGGTTTTCTAGATTTTTGTGAAGGTTTACTGAACCGGTAAATTCACCTGAGATCGAATTATAATTCTTGCAGCTTGAGTTGATGTTTTCTGAAATATGTGTATAGAATAATAAGAAAAGAATAGATGTATTAATTGTTACCAAGAATTAACACCAATAGGAAACAAAATAGTAAATTGCAGTAGTTAATTATAAGTATTTAGTGTTTTGAATACCCTCGCAAGTCCTATTTCTGATTTACCCGTTCTATCACTTGAGTAACGAGACATTTCAGTTTTTGATGTTTTCCCGATTTCACGGTCATTGAAAAAAATTGTTTGCCTCCCCCTCCCCTCTTATAAGACTTTCTTACTTTACGTAGGGGAACTTCCTCATATTGAGACCGGGAACAAATAACAAAGATGAAAGGGTAAAACAAACCTTAGAGAGATGGGCAGGATTAATCACTCCTCGACTGTGTGGGAGAATACAGACCGTATTACAGTCGAGTCAATCATCATGTAAAAACAGAAAACAGAAGTTTATCGGTATGAGGTATTTTATAATAATAATACAGAAAATTAATAAAACCTTTTTACATTTTTGCACAAATGTCGTTTAGATACAGTACATTTAACTGTGCTTCGATATGTTTCTTCTTAAAATAGAATTGTTGGTCTGTTATACAAATTTGGGATTTTTGTGGTTTGTAAGCATTTTAAGCTGAAATATCCTGTGTAGTATGTACTGCACTCGAGTCCAACACACCCTAATATTTGGCCACATACTGTACAGTATACAGTAGAACAGTGGGATTCTCTACCTACAGGCTAACTTGTTATGGACAGACGCACTCAGGAACGATTTGTTCAACGATGATTAAACGCGGTTTGTCTTCAAAGTCCCTAAACTGGAGGTTTTAAAAAGGCTGAGTCTGAACGTGATGTTACACGTCTGCCTTTTTCTGAGATCTTTGCTCCTATAATTCAAAGCAAATCGAATCATAAAAACAGCTAGATGTACCTCTGTGTGTATTCTTACAGAGCATGACAGTTCCCCCTTTGACATTAGATGATAAAGTATCCTTTAATGCCGAAAACTTTGCTGAACCGCCTTCAGGCCAGTGATGCAGACAACACAGAAAAGACATCACATTATTCTAAATACAATAACTAGGGCCAAGAACATCCGAGAAAGGTCACAGTGAGCTAAAAAACAGGATGGAGTCTGAGAGATAACAGCAGTAAAGATGATAGAGCTGACATTTTGAGAAGGAAATCATAAGTGCCAAAAAAAAACAAAGTAAGAGAAGCCTTTCCATGGATCAATGTTCATTAAAATGCAGTAGCTTGACTTCCACTGATGACCACTGTGCAGACCTAGAGTGGCTTCAGAAATAAAGTCACTGTCAGGCAATTGGAAGGAAGAGGGCTAAAGTGCAGTTGTCAATGTCGAACCCAGTGCTACACAAGATCGGCACAAACTCTAGGGTTACAAGGGCCGAAAGCTGCTTCTTCATTTTCTTTGTGCTGTCATGGTGTTTTTCTCAACACGAAGCTGCCTCTTCTCATCACCAGCTTGCTCATTTCTGGGCAAGGAAGTCAAATCTCTATCTGAGCCATCACTGATGAAGACCCTGATAACGGAGAGCTTTGCGTAGTGTGGGTGGATGAAGGGCTCATTTCCAGATTCCCCTTCAGGTTTCACTATTAAATGTGTTTCAGGAATGCTCACAAATTATTTTATTTTAATGGTAAAAACGTTTAGAAATGCTTGAAAAGAATGGACTGAAAATTGCATCAGTGGGCTGTAAGTAGGAAACAAGGAGTGAAACGTCTTCAGGATTGTGCCTGCCTCTGTCTTTCTGGATAATCTTCCCAGTGAACTCTTTGGAAAGATATTTCCATTGGTTCCTGTCCTTGATTATTGTTTGCAATTATTGAACTGTAGAGTTAGTTGGGGTTACTAACATTTCACATTGTGTTGCTCAGAGGCTAAAATTGGAGGAGGGTTAAATTGCCAGACATGGTTTAAGCTTAATGTTTTGAGTAAAAGGGAAAGTCCGTACCAGAGCTCATCCTGGTTTCCGTAACGTTAAGCAGACTAGAGAGCAGCTGACATCCCTGGGATGGGATTCTAATCCGTAGTGGGGAATTCCCCCCAGCAATGCTGGTTCCCTTTTTTACAGCTGGGCAGACTGGAGGAGCTGGGGTACAGTACTTCTGTCTCCATTAGGGACTTGAACACAACACCTGCCTATGCGTGAAACAGCATCCCCATTACACTATGCCTTTGGATTAGCCAGCCACAACTGTTACTCACCACCATTGTACTAACAAAGAAAAGGAAGATGTCTGGTGCATAGCAATGCACACAAACAAAGTCCTGGTGTTTATGTGCATGAAACGAAAAGTTTTCACTAGGTTATTGAATATTTGTTTACAGGGCTATGGAAGATGTAAAGATCTTGGTCGCTGTTATGTGTTAACGAGGGACCTATAATTATCGCTCTTCGTCTCTCCTTCAGTCGAGCAGTTTGAAACAAAAGCAGACAATAGCCACGCATCATGCAGATACCGGAAGCTGAAATAAAGAAAGAAGATTTTGAATTTAGATACCCTGATAGCATGCTTCAGCATCTCTTCAGCACTTGAGAAGGACAGCTCCCTTATCAAAACAAATATATGTTTTTGGTGTTTAGGCAAATACAGCTTTGGTGCTTCATTTATAGTATACCATATTAAAAATTCAGTGGACACATCTACCATGGTGCAGAACAGAAAAGCACAGTAAAGACTATGGTAAAACCTTTTAGCTCTTGTGGTTCCTGGTGTACTCTTACAAAAGATTTCCACTGTAAACTGTAAGAACAGTGAGCTCAGGCTCATTTTACAGTAAAGTAGCCAACTGCCATGCAGGGCACAAATGTGGCAACATATGAGCACATTGTTAAAATTTAAAGAAAACTGTCCTTTAAAGAGCAGTTTTAAACACGCCATCCCATGTTCTCGTAGGCGATCCTTCAGTATGCTGTGGGCAAGGAGCATGCCTTTCCTCCTCTGGGCGATATACAGCAGCACCCTCCTGACTGGATCCTCTGGATCGAATGGTAATTCCCTGCTTTTGAAGATGAGTGTGTCATCTCTTGAGTCTCGCATGCCACATCATTCCCAGACCCCACTTTGACCACACATGTTGACACGTCTGCTGAAGTTTTGTTTGATCTCTTCGTTATTTATTTTTCCTGTTTCGAGTGATTTGACTCATCATGTGAGAATCAAAATACCCTCATGGAGGCATCATGCTTTTCTCGATCCCTTCCCCATTGTGCGGCACTGAGAATTCTCAAAGCCTGCAGGTGCAAGCATCCTGCCTTTGTACGACGGACCACGTTTTATCCACTAACCAAAGTGGATTTGTGCATTGAATGGTGAAGTCAATTTGGTGAAAACTGCAGGTGATGTGGTGTCTGACAATGGGCATCAGTCAGCTCAGCACAAAAACTGGTGAGCATGAAGCCACAGTGTATTCACTAGTTTTCCCATTTTGTTCCAGGTAACGATGTTAATCTCATCTGTGTGAATGACTACAGAGTTACAGTGACATGCACACTGGAAGTCAATGCCAGTCACTCCAGCACTGAGAATGCCACCTATTCTGTGGAGTTCTTCTCAAAACTTGAAGGGTAAGAAAAATAAGACTTTCTCTTGCTTCTGTTTTAAATATCCATACAGCTGATCAAAGACACACTTTAAGCGATAAGAATAGATTGTTTTTAAACTGTATAAGAAGGCTTTCCCTCTCATCACCTAATGAGCAACTCAACTGCAAATATTAAAGCTTTTTTACAGTTTGTAGTTTGAGGATCACACTCAATTGAAGCTGCAGCTGCCTTTTCAGGCTCAGATAAGAGGCACAAATATTTCCTCTGGCAGGAAGGAAATCCAGAGGAGGCAGCGCCCCATTAAAAAAGAGTATGACTATCCCCTTAGAAAGATTTCGAAGCCTCCTGCTCTAGAAGTATATAGATTTTTTACCTCTCTCCTCTTATGGGTTTTATTTTATTCTTAACAACACGTGCAACATTGGAATAAGAATAGAATCTCAGTACTCAATGGGAGAACAGGTTCTGGTTCAAGCAAGAGCTTTAGCCTGCTGTGGCTATGACTGTCCAAGGGGTGGTGCACAACTGTCTGCTGGGTCTGGGGGGGCTTCATTTGGTCAGGGGGTCTGCAGCTTGTTGAGCCATCATGGTCCCTGAGGCACAATGGAGACTTGTAAATGCACTGTGTCCAGTGGAAGCCCTGTCGCTTCTCCAATCAATGCTAATTCATTTCAAAGGGAAACGAGTTTAAACAGTGAGACAAGGCTATTGATAATGGGTAATGTTGGCAGATTTGGGGGTAAGAAAGATAACTGAAACATAAAACCAATTCAAGCTGTTTTCTATCTAAAAAAAATTGAATCTTGTAATTTAAAGTTTAAAATGTTTGTCATCTGTTTTTTGTGCCACAGATCTATGTTTACATGTGCATTCAAGAAGGTTATGGACAGTTACAAGTGTACCCTGGATGTTGATGAAACATTTAGTGACGTAGACTGTTATGGTGTAACACTCCGTCACAACCTTGCTGGACAGTTACAATCTACGGTGTACGAAGACTGTTATGAGCCAGAACTAAACAGTAAGTCATCAATTGATTGTAATCAATGTTGTTCTACTTTGCTATTTTGTAGTAGCTTTTTGCTACAATTCAATATTTGTCAAATAAAACACATCAAAGCACACAAAGTTACTTATTGTGGATTTGGACTTGGCAGAAATTTTGCTCTGGAGCAAAAGGCTTTTTTCTTCAACTCATTCCAGACTTACTGCTTTATTTTCTTCATTCCTGCTCCAATACAATATAAAGTCACTGATGTTTTGTTCATTTTCTGCTCCTAGTTCAGCCTTTTCCACCACAAGATCTGACTGTTACCTCAGCCTCACAGCAATACCTTTTCACCTGGGCTGGGAGCAAATATAAGGTGTACACTGATTATAACGTTCTTCACCACGAATTGTGGTTTTACAAGAAAGAAAACCCATCTATGGTACGTTCCTGTGTAATAATACCTTATACTTATATATTTATCTACTTCCTTATATTTATACACCTTAAAGTGAAATATGTTAATCAGTATCTTAAACTATTGGGAATAAGAAATGAAGACTTTTTTTGAACCTATGAATCATAGCATAAGATATTCCTTTATTTTGGGACTATGCAGAATTTTTTTTGCTAGTTTCAGGATTTTGCAACACCAAGGTGATTAAAATCAATGCCTTTGTTTTCTGTTTAGACGCGCACGGTTCTCCACACTGATGCAGCCAGTTTCATTTACCTTAATGAAGAAGTGCTCGAACCCGATACAGTGTACGTTGCGAAACTGCGCGCCGGTCCTGAAAATTCTTACTATAAGGGACACTGGAGCAAGTGGAGTTCAGAGGTGGAATGGAGGACAAACTCAAGTCTGGATGATAATCCCAGCGACAGAAGTAGGTTATTAAAATTTTCAATTTTAATGTGTTTTCTCAAGGGACTGATCATTATGAAAGTTTACCATTGTGCACTGGCACAGTATTTTCCAGTTTTCCTAGACTATTCCCACGTGATTACTTCACTTTTCGTGGTTTGGATCATGCTGAGCCTTTCCCTGCTGTGCTTCACAATACTCCTCTGACTTTGTACCTGGGTATACTAGAGTTGACTTTTAGAAGATGTGTGGTGTTTTTTCACAGATGTAAGATGTTACTTTTCACTAAATGTAAACTTTTGCTTTCAGTAAAATAGTTCACCAATCAGGTGAAATGAATGCTTATGATTTTTGCAAAGTACATTTTTATTCATTTTTACAAATACTGTAACTAAGCACCTTAAATGAGGGTTGAAAAGTGGGTTGTTTTCCATTTAGTTTAGTATCTCCTAAGATATGTTAGAACAATGTCTAAAATCTATATTTGTCCTCTTTAAATACTAAATACAAGTAATACAGTGGCTTAGTTAGTTTTTCAGACAATCTTTCTAGTAAGGTAATTAAAGATTTTTCTCTTATTAGGTAAAACATTCTTACAAAGTTGCTAAACTTGTGAAAAAATAATTATAAATGGTGATTATTTTCTTGAAATTGCTGGATAGAAATGCTAAGATTTTAACTGCAAACAAGTTAAACACTCTAAACACACCTAAAATATTAAAAATATTTTTGCAAATTGTTCTATTGTTAGTTTGATACTTGATAAATAAGGGATGTGTTAAGATGTAGAACATGCTAGTTTGATATAAGATATGCAAAGGAACAAGTAATAGGTTTATTCCATGCTGAAAAAAAGAAGAAAGAGAACACAACGTTTCGGCCGTGGAGCCTTCTTCAGGTGTGAGAGGG